AATAAGCCATGGGAAGCATGAATTGCTGCATACAGCACTCTTAAGAACCAGTACTTATCCCATGCCAATAAATCATGAGCAATATGTTTTCAATTTTCGGCTTTAAGAACTAATACACAAAGATCAATAAATCTGTAAAATCCAAAAGTTGTCTAAGTAATCGGTAAAAATTTAGACGAATTAGACTATTGTAATTAAAAAGGGAAATCAGCACTGTAATCGATTACCACCACCTGGATACTTGGGTTAATATCATCAGAAGACTGCAGCAGATTCCCTTTTGTTGTACAATTGTTTGATTTTATTACGAAATTCAGATTGTCGCAGTCTACGAGATATCCTAACTAGTTTCAGATGAAAACGGGCTTAGCTTTTCTCCATCATGTCACTTGACATACATCATCGGAGCTTATATAAGCTTCAAGGTATATTTGTGTGTGTATGTGCGTTTATGAGCATCTGTAGATATGTAAGTTGGAGTACAAAATACCGGTTATAACTATAAGTAATTACAGCATAGATTAAATTCAGTCCCGGGTCATCAAAGTTTAATGATCCAAGGAAAAGCATAACTGGGATTTTTTGTTTATAAGTAGGGTTTCGAGATTAACAGTATATATAACTGGGATTACTTAAGCCCGAGCGTACGTCTGGTTGGGTAAGCCCGTGCGTGTACAAGTCAGGACATGAAATCAAAGATTATAACTTTCAGTCCAGGGTTATCAAGGTTTAATGACCATGGGAAAGACATAACTGGGATTGCGTAATTCATACGTCTGGTCGGGCCGATAAGCTTAACAAGACTAATGAACGAATATAAGCATTATTAGAACAATAATTGATCTGACCAATTGAGTTGCTTTTTATGATCAGTAGTTACACATTTTATTTCCCCCTTAGCCTGTCAATTAAGAATAATAAAATAATATTCAATTTCCTGCCCCATTTACATACATTCAAAGCATTTATCAATCCGTTGCAGACGCACCATATTGAGAAAGCCGAGTAATTTAAGAACAATCCATCTAGTGTCCAATTTATACCCTATGCTTGGTCACTTCTGATAGTTGAATCCAGCTATTTTTACAAGCATGTTCATGTTCCGCTAGCCATTGACGAATATGCAGACATATCTCACTAACATGAAAGAAACCACATGTACAATGGACCTTGCAATAGCTGGATTAGGACAATAGTTCATAATTCCCTGCAAAAGAAGGCATAACTGAAGAAAGTGCTATGGGTCCGTTAAAAACTATTTTTATCCCTCCTTTCTCACTAGTTGGTTTAATTTCTCAAAAAGAAAGCATGACGGCAAGGTTAGGACATAAGAAAAGGTCTCAGCTTGCCTATTCCTGAGAAAAAGTTTCTGTTTAGAGCTTTATTCCTAAGTAAAGAGATTTTATTTTTAGTTAAACCTAAAGGTTAATTATTTTCCAGAAATAATTGGTTTAGCTTATCTATCTCCTCAGTCAAGTGATTTATATCAGTAAGCTTCCTATAATAATCATTCGTTTCCAACTTCCAACCTTAGCTCTGCAATTAAGGTTTCAAGACAATTTATAATAGAACCAGCATATCCTGGTTCCCAATAAATATCCCTGTCTGATTTTCAATCTTCCATTATAACTAAGACATAGAAAAAAAAGTAAACTGACGCTGTCTGTCTTTTGAGGGAGGAAATTTCAAGCCAAGGGAGGATGCATCATTGGCTAAGTCAACCTAAAAGTTGCAGTAAAATGAAACGGCTGTGAAAAAACGGAATTTAGCCGTCGTGTTCTGATGAAATCGACCTAGGAATTTCTTAATCAGGCAATTTCAACCAAAATGGGAGAATTCTCAGACAAACAAAGTTTTGGCCAATATCATCAATGATCTCAAAGATTATCAGCTAAATGACTGAAATGCAGCACTGAGGTAAAAATGCGCAGACAAAATTAAAATAACTCGTTATATTCCGAAATCGATGGGCTGAAAATAATTTCCACACTAACCTAATACGTTCCCGATACGGGCTCGTGGGTCTGCACATGCGGGACTACGAATATTTGCCCATTTAATAAAATGGTTAAGTTCACATTTTATATATGGTAAGGTAAATAGAAAGTGGAAGAACAAAGGATTTAAAAAGGCATGCAAAGTTTACCCAAGGCAAATACAAATTTATCGTGCAGTAATAAGACCTTTAGAGCCAGCGACTGACTGAATGGTGAAAACCGCTTTGCAATCTTGCCTTATTATTTGGTAAAAGGAGAATAAATAGTAAAAATAAGTCTAACATTATTTTTCATACGACAAGTATTATATCCGCCGGTAAATTTATAAGTACCAATAAGCAGAATGGAACTATTTTCAGTGTATCATAACTAATACTTTAAATATGAAAGATTATTTTATACAATGTAAAAAAGGAAAGGGCAAACTTATAATAAAGTTAAGCACTTCGTAACCAAAAACACAGATGAAATGTGCGTATTTTGTACATACAGGCTTGACTAATTACTCAAGCCTCCATCATTGGAAGCAGAGAGGCATAGATGGATCTGACAACGATTTTGAAAACTTTTTTATTTTGCCCTTTTCAATACATGCTTACGGGTATGTAAATACAGAAGAAAATACTTCTGGGAAAAGAATGAGTATATTTATTTTTAAAGAAGTAAAATACGTCTAAAAGGCGACTATAACTTTCGTAAATTTATTTACAATTCCCTTGGATAACTTTTTTTTTTAGATATTCTTAACCATTCTTAAAAGAGTATGCACTTCCGTCTTAAGCAGCTTTTAGCAAGCAGTGGTGAGCTTGTTACTAAAACGTTAATCCACTTGTAAATGCATACCAGGTCATTTTTCCAGTGAAATCCTTGACTATTCCTGCAATCAGGATTACACAAATGATAGACCATGAGTAATTAAGGTAACATTTAAGTTCGAAGAATTGAAGAAGCTTTATCCTAATTTCTTGAAGTATTGCAAGCGCTAGCCCGTCCTTTAAGTTAAAGACAGCCAATAAACGAACCGGTCTTAAGACGATTTTTACTTTTTTCCGTAAGCGCTTAGTAGTAACGGTATAGTCAACTAAGAGTTGACAGCGGGCAGTAAATGCGATAGCGATAGCGAGAGGAAACTCAAAGACTAAGTCAGTTTAATAAAGCTATATACAATGGTACTCATTTTCAATCTTTGCCTCCACTGAGAAGATTTTAGAAGACCTCTACAAAACTCGGGGTCATGAAAACTATAAAATTACACTATTCATGATGGCAAATTTTCTCAAAGTAGTATCCTCTGAGAAAAACTCAGGTAGAGCAAGGAAAACCTCTAGAAGTGTAACGTTTGGGAAAAATTCACTTCATATTAGACATTTGCAAGTCTAGGCAGTTCATCTCATTATATTTTAGCCATTTTCATGTAAAACAAAAGTATAGATAAAATAAACTAGTCCACAAAAGTTGTTCAGCAGTAGGCTATGATGCTAGTAAAATTACAATATATCTATTTTCATGCCAACTTACTATAGGCATCTATTCCGGTTGAAACATAAGACTCGCTTCGTTCTTTTAACTATTTGAGGATGAGGCTAACTAAATAGGGAATGACTCTTCCTTAGATTGTCCTATAAGAGAAGGGGAGTATAGGGATCACAATTTTATCTAATAACATTCATCCTGATACGAGACTCTATATACATACAAGTACGTACCAGATCACCACTTCTGTCAAGGATGTTGCTCCTGTTTTCACCCTAAAGTTTATAAAAGGGAAAGATCTAACATATGCCTAAGCCTTTATAAACTGGGTAGACAAGATGGATAAAAGTCTGTGTTGATAAATATTTGATCAGGTCTCAAATTCAAGTAAATATAAAATAGTCTTTCCTAATACTTGCAACACTAGGACCTGCTTCCTATATCCCTATTAATTGTAAATAGAAAAAACACCCCTTATTCAGTTTAGCTAATGAGAAACAGATTATCCGACTATTCCTATTCCTATTCTTTTGCTCATTTTTCTAGTGATCCCAGTCAAAGGTTAGAATTTATCATATATAAGGAAGTATAAATTAACCCTATAAGTTGTACCGTAGGAGTTGAGAATGAGTCTCCTTAAAGTTTGCTGTTCATGTTTGATGAAGAAATTTATCTTTACACTTTTATACTGAAAAACAACAAAGAGCAATCGAAATTCTTTTAAAGAACAATAAGTAGGCACAGTTTGCTTAGGGATCTATAGTAATAGTAGACAATTGAGTTTGTAAATGCAAAACAGGTCGATTGACTCAAAAAATATCATTTTCGGAATTTAAATAGAAGCAATATAGATAAATAACCCATTTAAATATAAATACTTTGAAGATTTAAGCTCTTTAAAATATAGATATCACCTCTAACTTGGAAAGGGTGCGATATTTTCATGAACAAAACTTCACAACTTACTTCTAATTGTGTTACTTAAATATTTGAAATACATAAAATATTAAATAAAAGACTGTTTCTCACCGATCCATAGATGCTTTTGTTTCGAGCTTTTGAACGAGGCGCCCTTCGGCCTCCAAAAGAAGCTCGACTTCCATCAAACGTTCCTCCTTTACGGCAAGCCTGGATTCGATGCTGTCCAGCTTGCAACGCAATTCAGCCGGTGAGGGGTCTGCATATTTTTCCAGCTCACGCAGTCGGCTTTTAAAGACGTGCCCTTTGTCACCTTGTGCTCGAACAAGTCCTAACTTCTCTTCTTTATACGGAGCTATCTTTTCTGGTTCACTGGTCACAGGATTCAACAAAAAACCATCCGGGCTCTCCACCTGGGCCTCTAATTTAAGGAATCTGTCATGACAAATTGAGAGCTAAACAAGATGGTAATGACAGTTATATAGCTCAGCAATAATTTGGTACAAAAATAAATTACATTAATATAGATAGTTCTGATATAAATATTTTTAAAGCAATTTGTGGGCCAACCAACAAACGTTTTGGTTCAACATTGGACCTAATCAAAGCAAGCAGTACGACAACATTTGTGGGTTGACACAAGAGACTAGGGCATGGGAAGTCATAGACTTGGTATTAGGGATAGAAACAGGATAGACGTGGCGGTGATTGGGGCTAGTTGGCTGACAGTAGGTTTTATAAGAGACGTGGTACATATAGCAAAGATGTGACCATGGGACTTACTGAGAGGCTTTAACCTCGGATTAGTCACCCAGACGCAGGGGAGGGCGAATAACGGCTCGAGTAGCACATATAGGGTGACAGGGGTCGAGTGAAATATGTGAACCAGGGAGAGGGCAGACGGATCTTACGGGGCAAGATAGAAAGAATGGTAAGACCTATGGAAGGAGGACTGCCTAACAATATGGCAAACTCTGATCAACATTCCCAACACAAGGGTGAAGGGGGTGAGACCAACAGCGTGGAGTGGAAAAGGTTTTCATGAATGCCGCTCAAAGGAGTACACCACACTACATCCAAATAAGTACGGTACAAATTGTAACAGTAAAGGTGTTATAGAAGGATATGGGAAATGCGAATAGCCCAGGGCAGAAGGGGAGATACCACAACTGTTTAGCACACGTTTGGTCAAAGGAACGGCTTCACTTGTCTCTTTGAAGAGTTGTATTGTGGTGTTAAGAATGGCAAGACCCCCTGACGATGTCAATTACGATGCCGGTGAAACGTCTGGGAATGTACCACGTCTACAGTCCGACTTTGGAAATTATGACCCATACAATGGATTCCGGAATAGGTGCGTTCCTCTAAGTCTTCCTACCAATATGATCAAGTTGCGAAAAATAGGTCAAATCACTTCTATACAAAGTAAGGAGATTGCGACCACACAAAAGGCCACACTTTCTTGGTCTTCATATCTTCGATTAAAACTATTTAAACGCTACAAATATTCAATATGAGTTGAGCTGACGTTTCCATTAAATTTCACATAGCCTTGCTTTCCCAAAAGTTGTTCTCATCCACGGTGAACTGCAGTTTCGACCTCGAATCGGTCTTAAGGGCATAAGCAAATTTTAAAGGAAGGCCAGGCCTTTTTGCTATATCATATTCTTTTGGTAGAATTGTCAAAGAAGTAAACGTATATATGCCATAACTGACTACCAGTAAATCAGTAATATGAGAAACAATACTTAATTAGAAGAATAAAGTATAGTAGTCGATTGTTATAGCACATATACGTTTGCTACATCGACAATTCCACCAAAAGAATACGCCATGGCAAAAAGGCCTGGCCTTCCTTGAAAATTCACATTTGCCATGTGACCCAAAATGCTCTCGTGGCAATGTAGCCGACTGGTTAGCGTTT